TTCTGACTATTCCGGACGTTTTTTTAGAAAGAAATTGAACAATTTCACATAATAAATGCTTCATTAAGTACTGCAACACTAATCTATAAAGTTGATTCACATGACTTTTTTCAGCCCTACAAAGAATACTTTAAAATATAGACATATTTTTGCTTGAATGATATTAAAGACACCTATTTGATTATTAGTCATCATTTCATAAATATTGTTAGGAATATTTGCCATTGAATGTAAGCAACAAACATGCAAACCAGCTGCCACACCACCACAAGTGCAATGGCAGGAAAACACAATCAGACAACAAACAGCGAGTTCTGGAACATACACAGTGCATCAGGCACTGTGTATGTTTTAGTATCATCCCATGCAAACCCTGCATTAGCAGAGAATTTGATTCCGTTTAGTCTAATACAGACCATATTCACCAGTAACCCATCTATGAAGTCATCACAAGCAAACTGCCTATAACAGCTTCTGTGCATGAAAAAGCAAACATGCACTGAGTGAAATGGCCATGCGATGCAGGTTAGTAGGTTTGTACCGATGGATTGGTTGGGGTTGCGAATGTTAGATTGGGGAGGGGGGAAATAACCATGTCCCACCTTCCCAGTCTGCACTTGGCAATGACTGCAACGCAGGGAAGATGTCACCAAAATCATAATCTAAAAAAGGAGAAATAAGATCATCAATAGGCAGGAAAGAATGATGAAGTGAATGAAAGACGAACAGAAACTGAAAGAGATATAAAGTGAATGTGAAACTTGGCATATGAGGAACTAATACATACTGACAACCAAAAGAGACATTGTGACATAATGAGCAGTGAAATGTGTCATTGAATTAAATAAAAAAAATTGATGTGTGATCATGTCTCAGGTCACTGAGATTTCTGAACACTCAGTGTCCTCATCTTTTAGATAAACAATATTTAACAAAGAATACTGTCATCTTGGTACACAATATTCAAGTTAAATATGCCAATTTGAAAAGGAAAGAGGAAAAGTGAAATATATAAAAGTGTGAAAATAAGAAACAGAAGCTGGAATAGTAATAGACAGAAATGGAGGGGGAAAATGGTAAACTGAAGCCAAGCAGCTCACCTTCACTGGATGGGGCAATAGCGCTGTCGTCCCACTCAAGGTTAGTGGAGGTGAGAGATGTGAAAGAGTGCAGAGACAGGCTATCAGAGCTTGGCAACCTCTCCTCAAAATCCAACAGATTATGGGGTTTGTAGTATTCTGGCATGTAAGGAGCAACATCCAGATATGGCACATCCTGTCACAAATAAAAAAAAATGAAGGATTAGGCAGTGGAAATATTTAAATCTTCAGTTAAGGAAGATATAGAATAGTGTAAAATGTAGAAATGGAAGAGCAGTATTTTTATATTTTAAATGACTAGTTGATATAAATATATTTGGTAAGTGTATATGGCACTCAATACTCCATCTAAAACCATTTTAAATAGTTTTGCTAGTTAATTTATAATTATTATACAAACATAATTATTAATTAATACCTTACATTGAGAGACAACATGGGATATTCATTCCTATTTGTTAATATTTTTTAATTAATTTGTCACATAGCAGGGCTATTTAAAATGAACTACTGAAGGCAAGATTGACTAAAAAATACTTTTTGACCAGTCAGAGCACCTTAATGATACGCTTTCTCATCTTTGAAACAGCTTGTAAAGAGAAGTCAGTTGTTTGGCACTATGCTGTGTAACGTGATATGTTCTGTATAAGACACATCAGGTCTAGGACATACAATTCTAGACAGGAGAAATCAATGAAGAGTCATACCAATTCGAGGTCAAAGCGAATGAACTCCAGGCCAGAGACAAGCGTAAGAAACAGAGTAAGATGGTCATGACTGCAAACCAGTGCATTTCTGTAAAGGAGGAAACCACTTTCACACATCACAAAAATCAGATGACTGCTGTAAGGAAGCTATTTTCTGTGGTCTGAAACCACAGAAGAACAACAGCATCTATTATTTCAAAGTCACTCACTTGTAATAGTATTTCTGGAGCAGTCCTTGATTCTCTTGAAAAAGTCGGAGGTAGCTTTCTAAAGAACTTTCACTAAGTGCCAAGTAGAGCCAGGAACGACCTGTGGAACAACAACAAAGCAGTCATAGTTAACTAACTACATGAACCAAAGTCCACACAGTGCCACAATATTCAGCATCTGAATATATCTCATATATCTTCATCTAATACTTCATATTTACATTTCAAAAGTTGGAGATCAGTAAGTTGTTTTAATGTTTTTGAAAGAAGTCTCTTATGCTCACCCTTTGATTAAAAACAGAAAACAAACAGCCACATTATGAAATACCATTACAATTTAAAATAAATGTTTTCTCTTTTAATAATCTATTTTAATTTTAAAATATAATTTATTCCTGTGATGGCAAAGCTAAATTTCATCAGCAGCCATTACTCCAGTCTTAAATGTACTGATTTGCTGCACAAGAAACAATTCTTATTATTAATACTGAAAACAGTTGTGCGGCTTAATATTTTTGCTGAATTTGTGATACAACCTTTTCAAGGTTATTCGATAAATTGAAAGTAAAAAAAAATACAGCACTTATTTGAAATGGGAATTTTTGAAACATTATAAATATATTTACTTGAATATCTTACGGTCTCTAAACTTCTGAATGGTACTGTACTTTTCAACAATTATAAAGCACATCAACAAGTCATCATAGGTGGCAAAGGTTTGATCTTACTTCTGCCAAGATTGGTAGCTATGTGCTGAAGCTCATCAATCTGTCGGACGGCCTCTCGTCGTGTGAAGTGTAATACGAGTACCCAGTAACCCGATGAGATGTCCTGCAGCCTTCAAGACGTAGAGAAAAGAGAAGATCGGTAAGCCTACAAATGTCTACTTAAAAAGAGTTTCAGTTTTGAAAGGCTCTGGTGCAGTTGGTCTAACCCATAAAGCAGAGCATGATCCAGGTGTTCACACAGCCGCTGAAGAACCCGGTCGTGATTCCTGATGGCTGGCGTCTCATCCTCACAGGCGGCAAAGTAACTCTGCAACTGCGGATTAAATGTTGAAAAATGTTAAACAACTATCTGGTAAATTTCTGATGTGCACACAGCCACGACATTCCAAGCAATCGTTTTCATTCTAGACGAGCAACCTCTGATAAGAAATGCATTTTCAGAGTTCTGTGGTTCACTGATGAAAGCAGAGCTTTTTGGTGTGTAAGTCCATCCCAAAACCACGAGAACGTACTAATGCCAAGCACCTGATTAGCTAAAATCTGAATAAGTCAAAAGATTTCAAACGAGGGTGTGCAAGCTGCTAATATTCAGAATAATGCTCAGAAAAAGTAAGCTCAAGAAAGAAAGAAAGAAAGAAAGAAAGAAAGAAAGAAAAAGAAAGAACAAGCTTTCTGATGTTGCAAACAGCAAAGATTCAGTAAGTCACTGCAGAACAAAAAGACCATACAATGATAGGATGTCCTGGGATGGCCCCATAAAAGAAGTAGTAAGCTCTGTTTGCCCTATTTATAGGATCTCATTTAATAACAGGACTTGTTTACAGGGGCATCATGTCACTGTTTGATGTGTGCGTGATGCAGTAAACGGTGTTTACTTGACTCATGCCTAAAATGAGTTTTCTTTAGCATGTTATTTTATTGATAAACAGGTATTAACTACGCTATAAGTACACAATATAACCTAGAATAACTCAATATAGTGCATTGATAGTTGTCTGTCTAACCTGGTATTTGTTCAATCTTGACTTATAAGGAAACACTGGATGTTATTTCTTAAGATGTCAAGGCGTTTGTCTTCAAAGCACAGCAGGAGGGGGGGGAGGCCCAGCTGTTTTGATATCGTAAACCGCAAAAACCTCAAACTATCCTTGGAATTATAAACTAGAGAAGGTTGATACGTACCCTCGCTGCATGTATAGAGGTTTCTTACCTTCTTGACGGAGAGAGAGATGTTTTCGAGGATCCGGTCTTTGACTTTGAGTTGATCCATGTCTGACTGCGCTCTCTCTGCGGATGTCATCTGACGCGCGCTCCCGGCTCGCGCTTGTGTTCACAGGCCACGAGTTGTTTAGTGATGACGTAAATTTGTAGGCCAGCCCTGTATTCCGCCGTAAGCTCTGTGGTTAACATTACTCAAGGAGACTTTCAAGTTTTGTCCAACAACGTAAATTATAAACAGTCATAGCTCAAACTTTATTTTTGAAAAAGCTGTCTGTTTTAAGAAAACAAGTTACTAGCTAGTCGCTCCGTAAGGACTACAACTGCTGTCGGTTTAATTCTACGTCATTCGTCGAGCACGTACTTTCACGTCTTTGTTTTGAAAGAATTAAAAAACAAAACATTGTCTTGAACGTTCCTTATTGCGTTAATAAAACAAGTATTAAAAATACAACAAAAATATATAGATGAAACGACTATTTGATGTTAAATCTACATTTAACGGTTGGTCTTCAAGAAACCGCTGTTCTAGACCTTTATCCAAGTGTACTGTCATATTGTCTGTCATAAAGCATGCAAAGATTTTTTAATCATTTGGATCACACAAAATTTAAGAAAACTGCTCTTGCATGAATGTAAAAATGATGTACACTACAGTTCAAACGTTTGGGGTCAGTAAGATAAAAATAAATAATATAAGTTTATATTTAAATACATGTTACAGACCCAAAACTTTTGAACTGTAGTGTATATCAAAATGTCTAAAATTATAAGGCCTTACTATGTGTGTATATAGTGTTGATACATATTTATACACACAATGTAATGTGTTGGTTCTATTGTCACACATTCATACTATTTCTATCCCATGTATTCAATAACTGAAAACGCACAAATGAAAAAAATAAACTTGCCCATGTAGTTTACATTTGTGAGAGGAGGTTCTGTATAAACTACATTTACAACAGCTAAAACCATCATGAATAGAATCAGACACTTTCGTATTTGATGCAACTGAACAACAAAGAGGACAAAAAGTTTAGTGGTGGAACGTTAAAACTTTACTGAATTCAGGTATTTCAACCACATTTTGAGAATCCATTCCTCTTTTTACAAATGGTAGATTTCAAAACAAAAATTTTCATAGCAAGAGCTAAACCATCAGTGCATGTTGTATCATAAAACCAATTCAAGTTGCCTTTTGAACAAATAAAACATGACGTGTGCTCCAAATCACTTTAAATTACCAGTTGGCAAACCAGAAAACAAAAACATATCTTGTTAGACTAACCAACACCCCCTTCAAATAAATTTTTTTTTACAAACGTTGCTTTTTGTTGTAATGGCACAATCTCCAACTCACCAAAACAAGACAATACCAACATATTTCAGATCTCTATTCATGACTGCCAGAGGTCTGAAGACCATTTTTGTTTTTACATTTTCTTGCACTGCTCCTCACTGATTCTCATTTTAATCAGACTTCTCTTTTTCTCTCATATGTAGAAAGACCACACTGAAAACAAAGAGTCCTGCCATCATAGAGAAGGCACTGGCATAATATGGAAAGGCAGAGGGGATGAAGCGCTCATATTGGGTATGCTGCAAGGGGCGGACAGAAACCTGTGGAATAACAGAAGAATCAGTAAATATATCAAGAATCTGAGTAAAATCACTATGGAATTTTTGGAGCAAGAGCAAGTTTTACAATGAATTCTGAATTTCACCTGGGTTGAAGAGTACAGGTGTGTGTAGCCAAGTCTGTTGTAGTCAACTTTGAACTGGAAAACTCCATACACATCTGGAAGCTTGAACTGTACACTGTATTTTCCACCTAAGCAACCAGCAGTCACATGTTTTAATGGCATGCATCACAATTAACCTACACCACCATTCAAAAGTTTAAAGTTATATATATATATATATAGTTTAGAAAGGATGCATGATATTCAGCAATAACCTAAAACAATGGCTAAACAGCTAAGTAGCTATTGGTTAACAAAGCAAAACTTTTTGGTTAACTCATCTTTTTGGCCTATGTGACACCAGCCAAAAAGATAAATTTTAGAGGCAATGCAAATTTTTACATTTTGAGATTTCAAAGATATCTATCTTCTAAAAGCATCTGACTGAATGATTAATTCATGTATACGTTTCATTTTTAAAGTATTTTTGAGCTCATTCATTTTTTTTATTACAAACAGTTTCTGCCCCTTTAAATTCTGCCCCTTTCTTACAATCAAGGGAAAGCTCACATTCAGATCTGCATCCATCCAATCAACAACCGACAGACAGTGTTGCCAGATTGGGTTCCCGCCCAATTGGGCAGTTTTTAATTTGATTGTGCGGGTAAAAATTGGCTTGGGTGGGTGGACAAAATTTGGGCTGGTTTGGAGTCAGTTTGGCGGTTTTCAAATATATTGCATAGGTCCATTGTTTAACAAACAAGCCCAAGTATGCATGCAGCCTGCATCCAATCAGTCATCACAACATTACTATATATACACACACACACACACACACACACACTGCAGAGGCGCTGGTGTAAACGTCGACAGCCGCACTTATCACGAGGGCTCAGCAGACAGACGTTATGATTCATCATGAGTGACAAGTTTTTAGCATTATAAGTTATAACGTATCTGATTTTGAATGTTATGACTGTATATTCAAGTAATCACAATGCCTAAATATAAGTTAAAGAGTGGGAGAGTGACTCAACTCTCAAAACATGAATTATTGTGGAGTGAGATGACACTAAGGCTCTATCACTGCAACTCCGAAATTAAATATGTCGGTTTATACGATCCTGTCTTTTATCTTTTAAACGGTCCAGATTGATAAATCCTTGAAAACGGCTAGACTTGATTAGTTTTGACTGTGCAAAGTTCTGTATTATGTTCTACAATATGAACTTAACAAGAGGCTTCCTCTAGTCCTGTGTTAAATTATAGAGTGACACGAAGGCAAGTGCATTATTGTTGTTGTATTTTTTTTAATTGTCGAATTATAATTCAGCATGTATCAATGAATGACACAGTTTTGACTGTCATGGTGTGCTCATGAACGAGTGTGAAATACCTGCTAATTAGGCTACGTTGCTTTTTCCTATCACTTATATTGGGCAATTTTTGCATTTAAATTGGATTATTCTGACTGCTGACATTGAAAATTATGCATTTCTTGATTGCCGTGTCTGACTGTCTGCTTGCATATTTTATTCATGTTCGGTAGCCTAATTCTCTTTAAGGCTATTTGCCCTGATTCGATCCGTTTACCTGGGAAATTTATCTAACGTTATATTTATATTATTTTGTCATCATTATTTTGTTTTTAAGGAGTTAAAAATGGCCCTTATCAACCTTGATTTACATATTCCATCAAATTATTTTGACAGTTAAAGTTTTGGGTGGGTTTTTGTGAGCTTTTGGGCTGGAAATCGTCCATCCAATCTGGCAACACTGCCGACAGACTGAACCAATCCCCCCAACATTTTCTTTTACGATAATCTGCTTGTTGTCTGCACTTCCATTACATTGCAACTAAGTAGAGACAGGATCCATTTTAATTTAATATTGACATTATTTAGTCTTTCATTTCATAAATTGCTCTACGCTGTATTTTTTTCCTCCGTCAATTACTTACCTCACCAGGATCAGAAACGTCATAGTTATGGTGATCAATAACAGCAGTTTTCTCCTCATCAAATTCAATCCCACATTCACTGCCTAGCTCTCTCAGAGGATCACCTGCCAGAGTCAAAGTCATAGTGATATTATTAATGTCAACAGGCCAATACGTGTGCATTTATGCAAAACCAAAACTACACTCACCAATATCAGAGCTGGCAGCAACGAGAACATTGCCTCCACCATCAATGAAGGCTGTAATGGTCTCTACACTGATGTTGCCCCCAAAATCTGTTCCATTGGAAACATGTAAACATGGATATTCAAACATAAAAATGGCAGCATGACATAAAATCTATGTTCACTATAACAAGACTCACCTTCCACTGATGGAGAGAAAATGATGAGATGATCATAGAGGAACTGGCCATACTTGATCAGAGAGAGACCAGGATCATCAGCAGTCTTGAAGGTAACGTCAAACCCACGATCTGAGAACAAGAATGTAATTGTGAGTTAGAATATTTACAAAGAATCATGCAATACCTTTCTCTGTCTGTGCAGGTATGTATGTGCAATCAGATTCACACAGACTCCAAATGCATCTTCTATTCATACGAACATATTAAGCATATTTTCAGATGCTAATGTAATAATTTGAAGTGTTTTAATAAGAAAAGATCAGATAATGTATAGCTCACCTGCTAAACTGCGGAAGAAGATTGAATGAGTGTCTCTGATGTTGGGATTGTCCAGCAGAACGAGAGTCTTTCCGTCTCCTAAAACTGCCTGCAACATTAACGCCACGGATAAAACAAACAGAGCGCTTCTGCTGAACCCACCAGCCGACGTTGGGACCATTGTAGCACCTCGCCTTTTGCAGGTGAATGTTGCAGCAGTGTCCCTCACTGACAAGCAACCCATCGCCATTTTCCTCCTGTTGGACAACGTCAGCGCTAACGCGGATGTGAACTCTGACCCAGAGCAGCAGCCAATCGCGTGCTGCCTCATGGACTCATGAATATTATAATGAGACAGCCCTCATTAGATAAAATATGTTCCAAACAAATAATTTAATTTTCAATTTTAATGTAATTTAATTTTAATCGAATTTATGCTAGTGAATCGATTATTTGTATAGATACATTTGCAGAACATTTTCATACCCTTTTAGTGTTTATGTCATACAGTCTATGGTTTTTGTACAGACATCTTTCCATCCGTTGTTTTAAACTTGTACGACCAGCAGAGGTCAGTGCAACACAACTATATGCTTTTCAGAGCGCTAGCCTAGTCTGTATGGTAAATTAAGTTCAATTATTTTTTTTAATAAAACTGGATGTTAATTTTATTATGTATCTGTTGGTTATAAAATCTATTCAACTTACTTGTATACGTATAATAAGTATAATTCAATTTTATTATTATATTGATTATAATATTTGTTTCCTAAAAAGAATTTAAAAAGAATGTTCATTTACCCATTTTCTTTTCTTCGTTGTTATTTATAAAGCTCCGTGAGCTATGAAACAAGTCAAACTTGTTTTGAAGTTGATGTCTGGTCATAAATTAGCTAGCGACTTGAAAGTGCAGTGTGCATTACTGCCCCTGGAAGCCCATTACTGAACAAAACACAAAGCACCCTTTCCTCTGATACCTGCTGTCCATGTCAAACTGCATTCAACAGAAAGCTTTGTCATATGGCTCAAGTGCTGTTTCGAAACTGATTGTAATTTTAAGTCTCAGTGCATTAAAAATAAATTCTATTACATTAGGGTAAAGAACCAGTAGCCTTGCTTTCCTGGCACTAATACAGACATTTATTCCAGTGACCAAAAATGACACACACAAAAAAATAACAGAACCAAATGATAGTGGTTTATTAACAAACTAATTGCAGACTTTAGGTGATTTTGAGCGTTTCTGCACTGAATGTGGCTTAAGTCATTTTGAAAAGTCACTATTGTATGCAATTATGATACAATATCAATTGTCTGTTCAATAAACTCCAACAGAACAGAATTGGACCAAAATGACCTGGAACACTCGCAGTTCTAGTTTCAATAAGAGTTTTCCGACAATGAAAGCTGTGATATTCAAAAACAGAAACTTGCTTGCAAGTTGCAACACACTCATCACTCATCTAAAGGAGTAAAAATTAGTTATACTACAACAGAGAGCATTTAAAAGTGTTTATTGTGAGTTCTTCAGCTTCTACATGTCATGAAAATAAGCATACAGTTAAAATCAGCGGTTTAATGTTTTTTTGTTTATGCCAAGCAGTTTTAAGCCCAAATAGAAAATGATTAAACTCCACAAACAAAAGAATCACTAATAAATCAATAAATAATAGTTCAGGACTGTAGTCGATTTGTGGAAAAATTAAACATGTAGGACAGTCATATGTTTAATTGGCTTCAGTAACAGAGAATACATGATCTAGCATAGGAGACACTAGTATTAAAAAGTATGACAAACAGCATACAAATTAGGTTTGTTTTGTTCATAATTACATTTTCTTGTCATATTTATTTAAATTTCACTCTATACAATGTAGTTTTAATATGCTGTACACATATTGTGCTGCGGTTTGACATGTGACATCTATCTAGTAGAGTGTGTTCTTATTATACTGTAGCATGTTAGAAACAGCACACTTTGTGACAGTCTGAACTCCATCCTTTGGATCAATTTAGGTCAAAAACTCTTCACTATCCTTGGCTTTCAGACTTCACTTTTCCAGACCCTTCCTCTGTCTCTGTCTCTGCCTGTGTACTGGTCTCCTCCTCTGCCCCCTCAATTTGAGATTCTGGCTGGGCTAGAGCTCCTTCTTCTTCCTCACCGTCCTCCTCCCGTGTCCGGAACAAGAGCTCGCCTTCCTGGATGACCTGCTCGGTGGTTTGCCATGTCCCGTCACCTGCATATTGCTGATAAAAGTCAGAATCTGCCTGAAACATGACCAGGGCTTGGGCAGTGTGAATGCGCACATGCTGGGCGAGGGAGCTGGCGTCCAGGAACTTCTCACCGCATGAGTCACATGCATACAAGATCTGGGTGTTGGGATCTGAAGGAATAGAGCAGCACAATGTTTCAGCTTCAATGTGATACAATATGATCGGTCACATTTTATTTGATGGTCCAGTTCTCGCTATTAACAAACAATTAACTATGACTTTTGCCTCAATAAACTCCTAATTGGCTGCTTATTAATAGTTAGTAAGGTAGTTGTTAAGTTTAAGTATTGGGTAGGATTAGGGATGTAGAATATGGTCATGCAGAATATAAGTACTAAGAGCCAATATGTTAATAATAGGCATGCTAATAAGCACTAGTTGCTTATTAGCATGTTTATTATTAACATATTGGCTAATAGTGAGAATTGTTCCCTATAATAAAGTGTTACCATATGATTTTTAAAACAAAAATCAGCTTCAGCTTATTTAAAAACAAAAAAACTAAACTTGTTTTAAGGGGTATAACATATATAAAGTAAATATCTTGTTTATATTTAGTATAATTTATTTTATTAATTTATATACACACTACTGGTCAGATGGAGAATGAAGTTTGAAGGGTTTTTTTTAAAGAAAGAAATTAATACTTTTATTTAGCAAGGATGCTTTAAATGGAGTAAAAATGCAAGTAACAGTAAAGTCACTTATAATGCTACAAAGTATTTCAAAAGGACAGTTTTTATTTATATAATTAATTTATATATACACTACTGGTCAGGTGAGTTTTTTTATTAATACTTTTATACAGCAAGGATGCTTTAAATGGATCAATAGTGACAGTAAAGTCACTTATGTTATAATATTACATTCATATTAATATTCTATTCATTTAAACCTATTTCTATTCATCAAAGAATCGTGAAAAAATGTTTTACAGCTTCCACAAAAATATTAGGCAGCATAATGGTTTTCAACAATGATCATAATAAGAAATGTTTGTTGAGCACCAGATCAGCATATTAGAATGATTTCTGAAGGATCATGTGACACTGAAGACTGGAGCAATGGCACACAGGAATTTAACAATGTAATATTACTGGTTTACTGTATGTTTAATCCAGTAAATGCAGCCTTGGTGAGTATAAGAGACTTCTATTAAACCTTTGATCGGTACACACAATTAAATTGAGTTGTAGTACATGTAACTTGTTATTAAAGCAATGTCCTATTAATATAATTAAAATAATTTATATTATTTATAATAATATTATATATTTATTTTGTATTATTATTATAGCTTATAATACCAGTCAATTAATATATAGTATATAAACTATATATTACTCACCTGCTTCTTGTACTTTCTCCACTGCTTTGGTGATCTCTGCTTTCAGTGCCTCAGTTTCATCAGCAGATACAGAGGTTGCCACTGGTACCACTACAGGACAACAAATAATATCAGGAGAGCATCCAACTGCCATCACGGTCACTTTTAGATTTAGCATATTTTCTTAGTATTGAGTAACCTTTCTACAAAGTGTAATAACTCGTCTGTTTTGTCATATTCTCTCACCTGTGAGCTGTGCTACAGCACTGGCAGCCAGAGCCTCTGTGGCTAAAGTCACAATGTCATCTGTAGTGACTGTGACTATGTTGACCTCATTATTGAGCTCTGAGCCCGGTGTGGAGTCCGGCAGCAGTTTCTCCTCTCCCTCGTCCTCCTCAGCCACCACCAGTCTCTTCATGCCCGCCTTCCCCTGGTGCACCGTCTTCACATGGGAACGCAGATTGTCCACACGGTTGAATCCTCTGCCACACTTATCGCACAGGAAAGGTTTCTCTCCTGTAAACAGGAAGTCATTAGAAGCACATAGCAGAGAAATACATAAGAAAAAGCTCAAAATGCATCTTACCTGTGTGAATGATGATATGTTTTGAGAGATCTCCCACGTTGACAAACGCTTTGTTACAGGTGTGGCACTTGTGTGGTCGAATATTGTCATGATGACGGATGTGATTGGCTAGCTGGCTGGACTGGACAAACCTTCGAGGTGTGATAGTTGAAATACACTTTTATTATATATGGCGCCCTAATGAATCTAAACAAAATCATTCATGCAATTTCTCAGTTACCTTTTTCCACAGCGGTCACACACATACGGTTTCTCTCCAGTGTGTTGGCGAACATGAGCTATGAGTGAACTGGCCTGCGTGAAGCCTTTTCCACAAATCAGACACAGACAGGGCTTTTCTCCTAAAACAATGAGACAGACAAGGTCAAATAAACCTTTAAAGGTAACAGTGGCTGAGGGCGTGAGAAACGGCTCAGACCTGTGTGGATGCGCACGTGTCTCTGCAAGGCCCCGGGGTCAGCAAATGCTCTCTGGCAGTGCATACAGACGAAAGGCTTCTCACCACTGTGCACACGCAGGTGTCTCTTCAGGTTGCCTGTGAATAGACCACAGAGGCACATTAAAATTCCTTTATATATATATATATATATATATATATATATATATATATTGCCACACCCTGTCTCAATGTATAAATCTCACCTGAGGTGGTGAACTGTTTCCCACACTCCTTACACTTAAGTGGCCCATCTGCAATATGGATCTTCAGATGTGCTTTCAGGTTTCCCAACTAAAAAAGAAAAGAAAAAGTTGTTTGTATTTGTAATGGCCAATAAAAAAAGGTTTTGTGTTATACATTTATAGCTTTGGCTACAATGTTATGTCAATAATATGGTATAATCTATAAATCTTGTCTGCATGATAATATATTATAACATTCTGTTGTGATGCTTACAATTATATTAATAAACCTTTTAAAAATATATAAAATGTTTATTATTTTAAATATAATTTGTATTATTTATAATTTTTAAAGTATTTATATATACACATATAATATGTGTATATATATATATATATATATACACACACACACACACATTCACACAGTATAGTACTATATATATTGCTTAAAATGAAATTATTAAACTATTATGTAACTATACATTACTG